TTTTTTTTTTTTTTTTTTTATGAGATAGGGGGGATAAAACCCCAAAAGGAAACAACAACTAACAATGCTTTGTTGTCCTTAGTTTGTTCTAGTCGAGCTAATCGTAATTTTGCTCTCTATTGTGCTTATACATAGCTTAGGATCTCAAAAAGCCTGAACTATTCTGAAGTAATTGAAGTACCAACCCCAATACATATATTACAAAAGAGACAACAGCATGTAATTTGATAAAACTAGTGAGATGAAATTAATTCCAAGAACCTCTTACGTTGATAACCAAAATGGTTCAAGCATAATGTTACCCTCCCTATAATCTTGATATTTAGGAGACAAAAAAAACTTGAAAACTTAATGCAAAATCCTTTTCTTAATACATGAGTTTGGAGTGCCATTGGTGAACTAAATCTGTGTTTAGGATCTTCACGCTCCCTTAATTCAAAACAATGGAAATGTCATTCTGAGAACAACTTAGTTAAATGGTGTTGATGAAATTGCAAATGCTATTTCGGACAGCCATATTAAAACAGATTCAGTATTAATTGACGAATACTTGGGTTACTTGCTTTAATTTAACAGGTTCTGTTGGGGTCAACTGGTGCTCTTTCACTTATGACAATCCTGTCTGTCATTATTGGGCGGATATTTAACTCGGTGCCTGCTCAATTCCAGACAAGTAAGTTGTAATTCTTGGCATTTCTCATCTTGAACATAGTTGCAGGTGTATTCAGGAAACAGGTTGGTGAATATTAATGTGCTGCTATCCGGCAGATCAGTTAGATAATAGTAAATAGTCTTCCAATGCTAATCAGCTTGCCAGTCAACCAAGCTTTTTATAAAGAAAAAGGGTTAGTCTCCCCCCTCTCTCCCCCCAAAATCCAAAGGTCCCTAATCAATGTCATTAATGACTTTTATCATCTTGATGATTCTTTTGAAATACAATCCTAGCTGGTTTTTTTTTCCATGCCACATGCAACCTGTCTTGTTCTCTATTCACGCATCTTAGTTGATTGTGTCTACTAGATAGTGCCCAAATTGATGTTAAACAAAGAAACATTATGTTCCTGGATATGTTAGCCTTGACTCAATTTTGATTTACTCCAAGATGGTCTTGATTTCGACCACCCCAACCTCTTGGGGCCTCCCCTAGTGGGATTTGTCCCAGTATTTATTGGTGTGTGTTGGACAGGAGGACTGCATGTGCTCAAATGCTCTGTAATACTCTAACATATACTTCTCGTGGTTCTCTCTTATGCAAAATCATCAATTTCAACAGAAATGAAGCATGTAGCACATGATGATGAGTACTACAATTTCATGAGGATGGGTTGTAAAGAAACCAAATGGACATCATATTCTTCATCATTGCTCTCTATCAATCCTAATTCTCCACCAAAAATCTACCAGAAAATCACCGAATCAGAGAACCCAAGTTCCAAATTACCTGTGCATGGTGCATCGAAGCCAATGTTAAACCATCATGGAAGCCTATAAATTTTGTATGAAGAATTTGAATTTTGAGATAAAATTCTCGCTTGATATTTTAATGACGTCACAAACTTATATCAATTTTGAGATGCATTTTTAATGGCCTGATGAAATTATGTAAAACCATATTTGACATTAAATCTCCTCATCCTTTTGTTGTTCTGTGGCCATATCAACAGCCTTGCCAATTGGAGAATATGCAGCTGTAACTCTTCTACTATTCTTCGGTCTCAAATCAATAAAAGATGCATGGGACCTTCCATCAAATGTTGCTAAGAGTGGTGGTAAGAGCAGCCCTGAGCTTGATGAATATGTTGAAGCTGAGGAGCTTGTGAAAGAGAAGGTAGTCTAGTAGTTCACAAGGTTATAATACTCAGGCTTTGTGCATATACAAAGTTCTGCCTTTTGCAATTTTTTATTGCAGGGGCACAATTCAAAATTTTGTTTTTCTCAATGATTTGGCTGTGTGTTGGCGCATGTGCATCTGTGTCCATGTGTGGTATATTTTCCCAAATCCATTTAGAAGATTCTGTTCTGAGCCATTCTTATCATTTACACTTTCTCAGGTGTCAAAGAGGCTCTCTAATCCGCTTGAAATTGTCTGGAAATCATTCAGCCTTGTATTTGTTGCCGTAAGCACATTGCCTAATTTGCAGAATCAATTTACATGCGTATTAATATGGCCTGAAGGACAGATGTCAACTTTACCATATTGTTTTTGCTTCTAGGAATGGGGAGATCGCTCAATGCTTGCCACGATTGCTCTTGGTGCTGCACAGGTGCAACCATGTTTAGTTTAAGTCAGAGCATATCTTTTCTTCCATGTTTTAGTATATTTTGGTAATGGTTTTTATCTAAAATAATTCCTGAATACAGTCTCCATGGGGTGTAGCAAGTGGAGCCATTGCTGGGCATGTACTTGCAACATCTATCGCTGTTCTAGGAGGTGCATTTCTTGCCAGCTACATTTCTGAAAAACTGGTAAGATCCTTAACCTTCCCTTGATATTATTAATATTAGAAACTTGTAGCTTGATGTTATAATATTACAACATTAAACTCACGGTATCTTCAATCAGGTTGGCTACGTGGGCGGTGGTTTGTTTCTAGTTTTTGCAGTAGCCACATTTTTTGGATTTTTCTAAAATTCTTGCAAGCCCAAGAGAGAGAGAGGGAGGATAGATTTGAGTGCAATAGTGAGAAAACATGCTGCTCATGGAGACGGCCGAGGAATGGTTATTGTAGAGATAGAGAAGACCTGAGGATGTGCTAGAACTTATTCATATTGCACAGGTTTGTAGTGAAGCGTGTCAAAGATTCGACAAAGGGCCGAGGCAGATGTTCAGTCATCTCCATATTGGCTTCCCTAGATGCTTTGTACTATGATGTTCCTCAAATTCCAGGGAACGCCATTGTTAGAAAAGGAATGACAATAAATATGGTCTTAATGTATCGTCGGATTTGGCCATAAAAAAAAGTATCATCGGCACTTGTGATTGCAGCTGCTGTCCCAATGTTAGTGGTGTTAATGTTATGGATGCTAGCAGTGTCACATTGTGCTTAAAGAATTACAAAAAGAAAATCCCTAATGATCCAGCCATCCAAATCTCCCCTTGCCGTTTGCTTTTCAAAAAATCAGTTTTATTTCATAACCTTAATTGTCAACGTTATATGCTACTTTAGCTTTAAGGAGCTAGGCTTTCAATAGTAAAACGAGTCAATTTCATAAATAAAAAATTACAAACTAATATTATCATGCAAATATATTATTGGAACACTCTGGAAAAATAATGACTCAGAATACATATTTTAAGAAAAACAAAATAATAGTTCAGAACGCATGGCACATTTTCACCAACAAACCTGTATGCTTACAGCTCAACCTCGATAGCAAAAGGAGATATATGACATTCATTTCAAGTTATCTGCGTTGTAATACATCACTTGTACAACAGGACACCTTGGTCAACTCCAAGCACAATGATTTGTAATACATTTTACAACAATTTCAATTTAACTAAGCCTAGTTTCGCTAAAATCAGTCCCTATAAGATACTCTTCTCCCAAATTTTCAAATGCTGAAAGGGCAACTTACATTATCGTTTTCATTCAATCTCTTGTGGGACAGAGGATCCAGATCACTCATATATTACATTGATGAGATCGAAATGAGCCATTTGAGAGCAATCCAACCATAAGTTTCTCAAGTCCTCTTGCACCTGGACCAGGCCGCAAAATATCAGCATCTCCCCAGACTGAGCACGTGTCATTTCCAAACCCACCTAAACACCAGCCACCAGGCACAACTTTTCCTCGACCACGCTTTAATACATCTCTATCTATACGGTCAAGCATTGGATCATCTAACCGGAATCCTGTGGCAAAGGCAGCCCCATGATGAATCATAACATCATAATCATCGGAACTGATTGGCTGGGGCTTCTTTCGGGAGGGTGTGTCGAAATTAGCATATAGCAAGTTGTGGTTTATGACAGTTTTATTGAACTGATAGGAGTTGCAAAGAATGGTAGGGAAGTAGTTGGAAAGGGCTGAAGGTGTGTTAGAAAAATACATCAATACAGTCCTTGGCAGGTTATCAGTACCAAAAACACAAAACTCAATAAAATTACGACTTAGAATCGCAAAAGAAGAACCTGCAGAGAAAAATGATCATACGAGTTAGTCTGAATATATTTTTTTTAATAAACTGCTACTACTAAGTTTCCAAAATGATCCCTATCTCAATTGGAAAAAAGAGAGAGCAAAAAAGGTAAGTTTTACATAACAACGATCAGCGAACAGTTAAGCACAGTTCATATCTACAAAGTAGTAGTGCAAATTTCAGGATAGCTTAAGGGCATCACGGTAAGCATAACTGGCACATATCAATTGGTCCATGGTCTCAGTCCCAAAGACCACCAGAGTTATGAGATCTTCAATCAGATAGTCTCATAACTGGATCACCCTACTTTGCTTCTCTGCCCAATTTAATAACCTTACCAACGCTATTTCCCATTTCTCAAGCCTTTCAGTGAACTATTGAAGCTATCAAGAGAGTACGGTGACGAAGGTTACCGGGTGGATGTTACATTTCTTTGCTAAAAGTGTATGCCAAATGCTTTTCTTTCTGATTGTCTTTCTATGCTGACTCTCTTCAATGCCTATTCCTTTTTTTATATGGTAATTGGAAAACATTGTGGTCATTGCTGTATAGGCAAGTAATCTTGAATCTATTCAGTTTAAACCAGGTAAAAAGCTGATATTAACTCATCTAGACTGCCTCTTTGTGACAGAAATCAAAGGTTAATTTAAGAAGAATACATATTTTACATCATCAGTGTGCAAAACTTAAGAATATCACATATTACATAGTATTTATGGGGAAGGAAAAAGAAGAATCACTAATTCCATCTCTAAGTTTGTTGGCAACTAAAAGGTCAAATTGACTCATTCCTAATATCTTTCTGCAATTGACGCTATGGATGGGAAAGTAGTAACCAGTAATTATAATTTTAGTTCTGAACACAAAGTTAAAGGAACCAGTAGATAAATTTTGAGTTAAGAACTCAAACTCACTTTGTTCGAATGGAAATTGCAAGGCTCCATACAAAGCAACCTAGGCTATGCATCTCCAGGTTCTCCACCACCATAGAAAAGACCACTTGAGTAGTGTTCCAGAATTGGGTTCTTTTCTAACCAAAATTGGTTTTGATCCTAAACCACCAAAACCATAATACTTGCCCAAAAAATTCTTGGCACCAATGACAGTGAAAAACAAACTGGAAGGCTGTTACCTTTCAGCTTTTTCTCCAGCTCTAGCAATGCAAACAGAAAGTGATAACCCATTAGATGCTCAAGGGTAAGTGATTGCTTCAATCCGATAACTGCTTGATGGATCCTTATGTATCCAGCAGTGGGACTCACCTAGCCTAATCACACAATCTACAAGCTCACACCACTTTATAGGTTATTCTTTGGTAATATAATTCGAATTTCAAATTTAAACACTTTGCAAATTGACCAAATTATAGTACTAATTGATGGAAGTACAATGGATAACTAAATCTCAACTAAAATTTTGCGAGGATAACCTAGATAGACTATTGATGTTCATTCGCTCTATAAACAACTCATACTGTGTGCAAATGAAGCTCAAACTAACACACAGGCAATCACATTTTTCGTAGTACAATTTCCTCTTTGATAATTGAAATAAAGAACTTAATTTAAGCATAACTAGTTTACAAAGAAAATGCACCTGTGAACAACCGGTAAGCATTAGGCAACACCCTTTTCTGTGCAGCATAGAACATCTCAGTTTTCTGAGAAAGATAAAGCCCCGGATCAACTATTATCGGTTTCAATCTCCTAGACCTGTAAACAGCAAACACATTCAAACCTTACATTTCATTTACAGCACCCACACAAAACTTGAATACCAACATAAATGTGAAATCAATAAATCTGAAAGGCATACGATCGTACTCTCTCCAACCAATATAACTTGAATGGTTCACAAAGTTTAGATCTTTGGGCAGGAATGACATAATGTGAAGAAGATCTACACAACCCAGAAAACCCCATATAAAAAATCCGACATAAAACCAAAAAATACACACACAAAATCAGAAACAGTAATTCAAATCCAACAAAAATGCCACAAAATCCATACCGTCTTGTGTAACAAGTGGATAATCACCAACACTGAGGCTGATAAACCAATCCCAAATGGGCGACAAGCGAAGCAGAATCGACGCGCCATGAAGCGTAAAGGAGATACCAGAAGATCCTGTTGGGTACACAAAATCAGCCTTTCCAATGACATGGACATTCTGGGCAGCTCTGAAAATGGGGAGTGACTGGACTTTGAGAGCCAACTTTTCACGCTCAGAATCAGAAGCAGAGCGGTCAAGGTGGAGAAGATATTGGTTTCTGGGGTGGTAAGTGGCGTAAAGGAGTCTGAGGATCCGACCCAAGTCGCCTTTTGACCCGGACAATAGGTAGGCTATGGAGGGAGGGATGGGATCTGAGGAGTTGTTGTCGTGGTAAACGATGCGGTGGGCTTGTCGGGTCGGGAAGAGATACGGGTCGGGTATAGAATGCGGAGAAGAAGAGGAGGATGAGAATGAGGATGAGGAAGAGGAAGAGAGGAAGAGGAGGAGGGCAAAAAGGGAAGAGACTAGGATGATTGAGAGGAGGGCTTTGGGGTCTTTGATTGAGAGGGCGGTGGGTGTGGAGAGAAATGAAGGTGGTGATAATGGCGGTGGCGATGGGCTTGAGTTTTGCATAGCTGCTTTGGGATTGTGAGTCTCTGCGAGTGTTGCTTGTGTTTTGTTTGAGCTAGAATTTTGCTTTCGGTTTATCTTTCACGCTTTGATGCTCTCTTCCTACTCTGTTTTCTGATTTTTACTTTCTCGTCTCCTCCTTTCTTTTTCTATTTTTTTCAATCAAGTTGTCTTCTTTCTCTATTTTGCTATATTTTTAATTTGTCTGATTTGCAAAGGACCCACTCTTGGAGATCCTCTTAATACCAAGTGTTATGAATCGAATCCTAGTATCTATGTAGTGTATGTAAGTTTAGTATACTATGGTTCCTTTCAATAAGAAAGGTTCTAAATTTAAAATAAATAAAAAATTAAATAGGAAGTGAGTAGAACTCTAAACCTATTGAGCCTAAATTAAGTTCTTTTAGCAAACGATAACTACGGTCTAATATTATATAAACTAGAAAGGTACAAACTAAGTGTGTCAATGTTGTGTGTCCAAATAGCATTACTCAAGAAGGTTTGAAGATATTTATTTACATTAATAATCCCTGAGGTTTTTTATGTTTTCACAAAACCCCTTTAGGCCTAAAAAATTACACAAATACTCATTAAGGTTCCAATTTGTTTTCACAAAACTCCTTTTCGTTGATTGTTCGTCCAAAAATTGATGATTTTATTATAATTAAAAAAAACTTATGCAAATGACAAAATTAACCTCGATGAAGAATGCAATCTAATCTCAAGGGCCAATTTTGTCATTTGGACATTGTTTTGTATAAAATCATCAATCTTTAGACGAAAAATTAATGAAAATGAATTTTGTGAAAACAATTTAAAGCCTCAGGGGATGTTCGTGTAATTTCTAAAATCTCAAGGGATTTTGTGAAAAAACCAAAAACCACAGGGGGTGTTAATGTAAATAACTCTAAGTTCTTTATAGTTGTGATTTTTTTTTCAAAAGAAACACCATACGGCATGTGTCACGGATCGAATCCTCCTAACTTACACATGCACTATTACTAGTGTTGTAACTTGAAAGTCTGTAGGTTGAACTCAATCTAATCTAGGGAATATAATTTGATTGAATCCGACATACTGCATCAACATGTTGTATGAAAACATGGGTCCGCTTTCTCCTTTTTGGTTGATGAAAATATAGACAAAAAGGAATCGGTTTTCATCCTTTTTTTTTTGGGTGAAAAAAATGGCGTTAATATAAAACCTTAAAACGGTAGAAACTAATGATACAAATCCTCTTAAGAAAATTAAATATGAACATATATGATGACCATGAATACAAAAGGAAAAATATGATCATCTTCTTAAAATTTATGTGAGTGAATATAGAGAAAGAAATAGGATGAGAATGACATGATAATCTTGCAGGCTTTTTATTCGAGATTATTAACACTACATGGCGGGAACTCTCTATTTGATTTATATACAAAGAGATTACAACTAATTAAGGAGCAACTGTCGTAATGACCGGTCCCTATCTCCCATGTATATGTCGAAATAGTGAAACTCAGTTCCCCACTGAAATTCAGTTGTCCCCCAAAAGTTGGGCCGAAATGAAAACTCATGCTTGCCTTTAATGGGGATAAGATGGGAACCAAGATCGTCCTGCTTGGATTTACAGTGAATGGTCATCTCTGCGCCGCGCCCAAATCATTAGTGGCGGTAACAGTTAGTCTATGCTTACGAAGACTCCAACCGCAAGTAGTTTGGAACAACACCAACACCATTAGCAGCAACAATACATTTCTGATGAGCAAAGCTGTATTGATATTGTTTCTGCAAACTTGTGGTTTTGTTGGTAAAAGTTTTCCCGAAATTTACTAATTACGCAAAAGGCATGTGTGTGCTGTTTGTGCACCTTTAGAAAGTCCAATTATCTACACACAAAAAAGGTCCAATTACTATCAACGGGGTCTAGCCTAGCCATGCGGCTATACTCACTTTATATATTCGAATTTTTTTATAGTATAACCGGCGGCAATTCTCTCTAAATATATATGAATATTTTAAACAGTACAGCCGCACGGCTAGACTCTTTAAAATATTCATATATATATATATATTAAGAGAGTATAACCGCGCGGCTATACTATTAAAATATTGAAATTTATTTAAAGAGTTATATTTTCTATTTAAATGATAATTATTTGACCATTTTATTCTCATGATATTAAGTTATGAACTTTTAACACTTTAGTTAATCAAGGGAATTTTTTGAATTTTAAAATTTTATTATTTGATAGATGGATGTCTAATATGAAAAATATTTTTACACCATAATTACAAAACCATTTTAAAAGTAAAAAAAATCTGTGTAAACCAACCACAAGAGGAGATCTGGAAAAAAAAAAGAAAAAAAAACCACAAGAGGAGAAATTTAAAATAGCCCTAACACTTTTTGTATGTTTATGATATGAATATCCAAAAAATTAATTGCGAGTCCCAAATTCTCCAACGTCATATAGTTTGTCCTTCATTTATCGAAAAAATTATTTAGAGGAAAAATTGACAATTATAATTTAGCCTTATAAGTTACATAAAGTTGATTTCTTTCTGCTACTAGAACGAGTCTTCACCAGAAACAGAGCTCTACACAAGCGAAAGAGAGAAAGCATGGAAAGCAAGTCCAACTACAAGGTAGAAGAACCAGAGGCAACCATGTGGTCCCGGAAAGCATGGGCCCTACTATCCACAGTTCGATCCCAATCACCGCTCATCCAGTGCATCACAAACTTCGTGTCAATGGATCTGATGGCCAACACTCTCTTGTCCGCGGGTGCATCACCCGCCATGCTCCACACCTTGGAAGAGCTCACGGACTTCACGCCTCAGGTCCACGCGCTCTGCGTCAACGTGGGCACACTCTCCGCCGGCTGGCTACCGGCCATGAAACTCGCCGCTGAACTGGCACATAAGTCCGGTAAGCCTTGGGTTCTGGACCCAGTTGCCGCCGGTGCCTCCGGTTTCCGGTTAAAGGCTTGTTTGGAGCTTGTGGAGCTTAAGCCTACTGTTATCAGGGGAAATGGGTCCGAGATTATCGCCCTCGCCAAGGCTTCTGTGGAACCCACCAAGGTAAATTTTCTTGCTTTATCACAAAAATAGTCTGATCAATGTTTTCATGAGGTGTTATGTCCTGTGCTTTGAATCGGATTTCTGACACCCAAACAAGTCCGTTGAAATTTGTTAATTTGTTTTTTTGTTGTTGTTGAGAAATCAGGTGTTTAAATTGTTGAGTAAAAGTTTTTGGCTTCATGTTATTAGTATAGATGATGATTCAGTTCATTGAATATCAAAGATAAATTTTTTGCTATTTTTTGTTTTTTTCTTTGTGCATACTAAAGTTGTTATAAATCAATTTTAATTGAATTTTGTTGTTTTTAGGGTGTAGACAGTTCCCATAAGTCAACAGATGCAGTAGAGTCAGCAATGTCACTGGCTCAAGCCAGTGGTGCCATAGTGGCAGTTTCTGGAGCTGTTGATATTGTTACAGATGGGAATAGGGTTGTTGGTGCTCACAATGGGGTTGCCATGATGACAAAGATAACAGCAACAGGGTGTTCAGTCACTGCCCTCATTGCTGCCTTTGTTTCGGTTGATCAATCACATGTATTGGAAGCTACAGCTTCGGCGTTATCGGTATTTGGGATTGCTGGTGAGATGGGAATGAAAATGGCAAATGGTCCAGCGTCATTGCGGATGCATTTGATAGATTCACTCTACGGGATCGATGAAGCGTGTGTGCTTTCTCATGCTAAAATCACCAGCTTGTCGTGAACGATGAGGAGCTGTATGTGTGGTATGCTACTTACCATTAGGCCTGTTTTGTTGTGTTTTTCTTTTTTGTAGATTTGCCATATGTTGATCAATCACATGAATGACGAATAACATATACTTTGTTCTTGGAAGTAGAGTTCTGGAGTCATTTACAGGCAAGTACAATAGTAATTGGAAGCATTCCGTTGTAAACTGAACTTTGTTTCACTTATGATTTTTTTCCCCTGTATTTTAAACTTTTCCTTTGTAATATAAAGAAACAGTCTCCAAATAAACAAAGATAGTTTAAAAGCAAAAATTTGGTAATTCATTCCAGTTGTAAGCTGCTGTGCCTGTTCCAACATTAATTATATGGGTTACATAGGGTAGCAACAATTTGGTTTTAGATGAGGTATCCTCTTTGAAAGGCCAAGACTAAGTTGGTGGTCATGAGGCCATTTTTGTCCGAAGGAAATGCTCACTGTTGTCTACAAATCAGTTAAAAAAGAACTAAGAAAATCAGAGAGTCAACATAAGAGTTGATGTCTCTGAGTCAATGGTTCGAGGTCTTAGAATGGTGTAATTTTCAAGTTTATAAGAATCTTCTACTATATAATAACTCTTTGGGGTTCTGTTGGAAGCTCGATGAATACAAATCAGTTCTCAATGAAGGGAATTATTGTTGAAAGCTTGCTGCCTTGATATTTCATATACTTTTTCATCTCTTTTCCACATCATTTTTCTCTGCAACTACCCTAATCATTCTTTTTTTTCTTTTTCTTTTTTCTAACGTTCTTTACAATTACTAAAATTTTGACATCTACAGTCTACAGTAATAGGCAGCACTCACCTTGTGTTGCCTTACATTGAATACTCTTATGAGTCTCATGCTTTAGAGAGAAAATTGTAGTCTAAAGATTACATTATCATAGTTTTTGTTATTGGATAGTAAGTTACTGGTCATCCATCCGTGAGGACAATAAGATTTGGTTTGATATGTGATGTTCTCATGCAATGTTTACTTATATGGTGGCTGTGATCTGCAGTAATGCATCTTGCATGATATGGTAAAGGCGTACTATGACATTTAGTATGATGGTGATTTGGAGTTTTTGTTTGATCTTGTTCCTTGCCCTTTTAGCGGTGAGAAGATCAGTTGACAAGATATTCTTCATTAGGCATTACCATACTTAAGCAGAACAGTTACAATTGAAAGATACTCCACGCATGTAGCTAATACAATCACAAACACTCACATTGACATTGATATCAACACAAACAAACCACTTTGTCTCAGTACTTTAAGTGGACAGTAATCCTCAGCAATGTTTCTGCACCATCTGTTGCATGTTGACCTGGAGGAATCAGTGGTTGCAGCACTGCAAGCCCATTGGCATTTTTAAACTTGCCCGTCCCACCAGTCACTGACAACTGTGACTTGGTACTCCCAATCTTGTACACTCCGAAGAAGTTGAGGTTGTCATTATACTCCCCTCCTTCTATCATAGCCGTAAATGCCATCAGCTGTCTTGTTCCATCTGCAGAGCTTGCCACATAAACTCCTTGCGCTTTTCCAATCGTTTGTGACCCCAAGTCGGGACTAGAGGTCAGTATGTCATCAATGACAGTGATTGTCCCAAAGCCTAGTCCCAACCCATCCGGTGCTAGTTGGGTAGCAGGATTGCCATTCTGTTGAGCATTAGGATTTCCTGCAAAAGCTGTACCAGATAAGCCGGTTCCTAGTGGGAGACCGTTGGCACCATTTACAGTTGGAATGGCACCATTGGCATTAGGGATAGCCACCGCACCATCTGGAGGAAGGAACCCTATCGGCTTTGCAAAGGGCACTTGGCTGCTGTAGATGTTGCCTAGCAAGCCAGTGATTGGCCTAGCTGTAGGGCTACTGCCTCCAAGAATGTCATGCATGTATATTTCAAGAACCGGTTCATTGCCAACTGGTGCAGGATCAACTGCAGACACAAGTACAATTGCATTGTGCATATTTGCAATCAGCATTATGATGAAAACAGATGAAAATGTATGCTTGAACATCCTGAAATTCGGTATCTAAAGATGTAGAATTGAATGCTGAAGATTTCTTGCTGAAGTACTCTGATGGGTAACAGATATTGCTCTTAATATAGAGGAAATGGGCACATGGAGTGGTTGAGGCTACTCCAAACTCAGGAGGTGAAGTTGTTGGATTATCTTCTTTGTAGGAATCATTTGAATTTTGTTCTAGGTGAATTAGTTATCGATCACAGATGGCATACAGAAGTGGGTTTGTTGTATTGTATCATTGGTTCCACAAGACCAAGTAGAGTGCCATTTTCAGTTAATTACCTGTTTTTTTTTTTTTTTTTTTTTTTTTTTTTTTTTTTTTTTTCAAATGTCGCAGCTGATTTACTTATTGGTTAATTTCCGCTCTGCTTTCATGGTATAATGTTGTTTTTGCAATTGGTCAAAGTTTTAAGCCTCGCGTATATCAAAGATGTATGCACCAGCAATAATCTCCAATCTTGTGCTATGACTTGTTTAGTAACAGTTCAGAATTTTATCTTTTCACAATCTGGTCCTTTTTGGTTAGTCTTTGCAATAATAATAATAATCATTCCCAAACTGCCCCGTTTATTTATTCATTTATTTTGGTTGCTTGAAAAGGGCTGGAAAAGGAGGAATTATTTTGTGAGCAACCTTATGAGACAACCCTGAAAATCAGACAACGCGGCAATACTTAAGTGTTTTAGAAAGGTATTTTTTAATAAATAGTATAGCCGAGCGGCGGTACTCCTTAAATAGGATATAATTAGGATTATTTGCAGCACTGGTCCCTCAACTATACCCCAAGTTACACTTTGGTCACTCAACTCAAATATTAGTTGCAGAGGTCACTCAATTAGGTGTTTTGTTGCACCGTTAGTCCTACTGTCAAGTCTCTCTAACGGTAGGGACTAATAGTGCAACACAACACCTAATTGAGTGACCAAAATGTAACTCCGAGTATAGTTGAGGGATCATTGCTACAAATAATCTTAACTGAAAAGTCACATTTGCCCATCAATAATCTAAGAGATGCTTGCCACGTCATCATTTTAAACAGAAAAAGTAACAGACTTGACGGTAGGACTAACAGTGCAACAAAACACGTAATTGAATGACTTCTGCAACTAATATTTGAGTTGAGTGACCAAAGTGTAACTTGGGGTATAGTTGAGGGACCATTGCTGCGAATAACCCGATATAATTAAGTAGTATCGCCGCGCGGCTATATTTCAGTTTTTATAAAATAAATAGTATAGCCGAGCGGCTATATTTCAGTTTTTATAAAATAAATTGTATAGCCGCGCGGCTATACCTGGGTTTTTTAAACCTTTCTTCATAAATTGTATAGCCGTACGGCTACACCGGGTTCTTTAGTTTTTTTACTTATTTAAAAATTTCTTTGAATTTCATTTATTGATAAGAGTAGTTTAGAAAATACACGTTTTTAAAAAAGCAAATGTAAATACATGACCATATGTATGTTACATGTCTAATACACATGTTATTTTATACATAATTTTCAATTTCAAACAAAGATTTATGGGTATAGTAGTAAGAAAGAAGGTAATATTCTTCATGTAATTAAAGTGTTGTTTGAAAAGTGAAGCATAAGCAAAAGCATCATGTCCTAAAATCTTATGTGCTGTATCAAATAAAAAAGGCTTCTCTACATGTCTTTAAGAGATGAATGCATCCCTCTACGTATAAAATACTATTATAATTAAATCGTATAGCCGCACGGCTATACTTCAGTTTTTAATTTTTTTAATTTTAAATAAATAGTATATCCGCGGGCTATTCTCTTTAAATATAATATAATTAAATATAATAGCCGCCCGGCTATATTTCAGTTTTTTTTAATAAATAGTAGAGCAGTGCGGCTATACTGGGGTTTTTTTTTAATAATTATTTATTTATAAATTTCCTTGAATTTTGTTTATCGATAAGAGTAGTTTAGAAAATTCACGTTTTAAAAAAAGAAAATGTACAATACATGTATGTACGTATGTTTCATGTCTAATACATGTGTTTTTTTAACAAAATTTTCAATTAAAAACAAAGATTTAGGGGTATAGTAGGTAAGAGATAAGGTAGCATTCTTTATGTAAAGTGTTGTTTGAAAAGTGAAGCATAAGCAAAAGCATGCCATGTCCTAAAATCTTATGTGCCGTATCAAATTCAAAATGCTTCTCTACATGTTTTTAACAGATGAATGCATCCCTCTATGTATAAAATACTATTATAATTAGTGGCTATATTGAATTTTTTTATATATATTTTTAATAAATACTATAGCCGCACGGCTATATGCTTTAAATATAATATAACTTAATAGTATAGCCGAGGGGCTATACTTGAGTTTTTAAAAAGTTTTTCAATAAATATTATCGCCGCGCGGCTATACTTCAGTTTTAAAAATGTTTTTTAAATAAATAGTATAGCCGACCGGTTATACGCTTTAAACATGATATAATTAAATAGTATAGCCGGGCGGCTATACTGTAGGTTTTTATAAATTTTTCCATAAATAGTATAGCCGATTTTTCCATTTTTTTTTCTTTTTCGAACCCGCTCTCACGGGCAGCAGCAGCGGCATTCCTCAGCTCTCATAGACTCGTCGACTCTCTGCTCTGGCCTTCCGTTTTACCCCCAAAGCTTTTCGCGCTTTCCCCAAGGCGCTTACGACGTCGTTCCCAGTTCGTTCCAACCAGCCAGCTTTTCACAAAGTTGTCACTTGTCGTACTGCATCAGTCTCAGCCTCCGATGATGTCTTCACTTGGGACAACGTCGTTAGGATATCCAAACCGGTTCAGATCTCAGAGGCTACTCAGAAAAGATCAAAATATGCAATCGCACTTTCCTTGGTAAGTTATACAATACATTTTCTCAGCTTCCAAACAGAAACAGACCAATTGTTCGTTTATCTCTCCACAATCCATTCCACATTTTATTGAAACTGCTTGCAGGAATCGCACTCTGAGTTCCTTCCCTTTGTAATTGAGGACCATTCACAAAGAGTAAGCTCAAATTCCCTGAATTCAAATACCCGTTTCATGCTCAGATATAGCACTGAATAATTTTCCCAAATCTCTAGTTTTGCTGAGAATTTACGTAGTTTCAAGGACGTGTTTACTTTCCCACCAGAAAATTCAAACTCTAATGGCAGTTGCATTCATCGCTGAGCATAGGACGAGAGCTGTGGGAGATGTAATCAAATGCCTAGAGGAAGAAAATAGTCCAGGTATAAGGAATGAGCTACGGTTTGTTTCTGCGATTTGCGCGCCACCTTTTTTTAACCTTGGTTTGGGTGATTAAACAGTGAATTATAATCAATTTTTGATGCATCTCTAGGAAGTGATTTTGGCTATATTAATCTGTAGGATGAATGGCAACTGGCTCATTGGATTAATTGGTGCTATATATGTATCTAGCAATGCCTGTACGTAGTTTGTTATTAGATCGACATGGAGGTTCTGTGAAAGGGCTTGATGATGAGGCTTTGGAGGTGACACTGTGCGCTATAGTGTTAGCTAGAGAGGAATATAAGATTTTTTGTAGGGTTAGAAATTTCAGTGGTAGCATTGAGTCTGGTTGCTTTTTCAATGGTCACATAGGAAGGAAGCCACTGGCCAGCTAACTCTTTTATTGTTGTTCATTTGATTTTCTTGCAACTTTCCATTTTAAACATTTTTTATGTACTTCTTGTTGGAATAGGCTTATGGAGTGCACATGATGGCTATGTTGAGAAGAATGGGAAGAAGTTTCTATGGATAGCGAAGAGAAGTCAAGCTAAACCCACTTATATTATATATATATATATATATATATATCCAGGGATGCTTGATCATCTAGTTGCTGGTGGACTGGTTTGTAACGAGCTTTCATCTTGCTTTAAGGCATTTTAGTTTCTGTTCTATCAGTATATAGGCTGTCAGTGCTCAGTGGGAGCTTGCTTGAATAGTTTGCATTTGGTATCTAGAGCCTCCAGCCTTGATGAAATAACATGGGCATTCCTCGGCTTTACTCGGCTCTTTTTTTTTAATTTTTCTTAAAAAATAGTCTAGCCGCACGGCTATACTCGGTTTTTTTAATTTTCAAAAAAGAAATAGTCGGCTATACCTGATTTTTAAACGTTTTTAAACAATAGTATAGCCGCACGGCTTTACTCGGCATTGTTTAGATTGATATAATAACACTTACATAAGAAACTAATTTAAAAGCCAAACCCCAATATGATGCATATTGCATAAGTGCAGAAATCAACAACCAGAGAAAGCAATAAAACCACGTACGTACTACCAATTTCTTCATCACTCCGCAGGACAGCTAAGACTGAGTTTCAGAGAACCTACACGAAACCTAGTAAACTATACAAAATGAAAAAATATTGCATGACCACTCTGGGAACAGCCAAACTAAACTCAAATGAGGAGCATAAATTCAAGCCTTAACTCACGATTAGAAAGAAAATTCACCGACGCCGTAATAAAAGAGAGAAATTATTCAACAATTACAAGGGATGAATTTCAGGAACAGCAGGAAACATAGAAGACCTGGGTCATCAAGAAATCAATCATCTTCACTCACACAAAGCACTAAGAAGGATACATGAGGATCTCACCGGAATATCATGCCAAATACAACCAAACAGAATGGAAACTCAGACGAAGATTGATATCAAAGTCCTAAATCAATGGTCCATGTATGACAGCTAATTTGCCTCATAATTATCAACCAAACACAGGAAGAAAAGCCTGAAAAATGTAAAGACTTAAACCTCTGCAAAAGTTTAAACAGATTCCAAATACGGGTCATCGGGAAATTGTTAAATTTATGTTATCCTAACTGCAATACCAGTGCTTGTATTATTTTTTGATATTCTTCTTTTATAGCATTCATAATGATACAGTGATGCCAAATACTTCACCTCAGACTCAGAGCAGTCAAGAAAACCAATATCAAGACAAATTAGATAGCAATCTTCAAGCGAACAGGGCTCAGGTCCCTCTGCAAACTATTCTAAGGAACAACTCAAGTAAGAAATTTACTTTGTTATTGTAATTACAACCACAAAGATAAAATGTTGGTTCCCGCAACAACATCCATTTGCCTTTATATATAGCAGGATGCTTACAAAATTAAGAGCATGAGCCATGCATATATATGACTTCTACTGTCATTACATTCCTATTTAACTTAGAGCGTGAGCCATGCATGGATCATTCTGTATAAACGATCTGATATTCATTTGTTAACATCGTAA